GTGGGGGTATCGCTTGATTGGTCAGTCAGTCAGTCGACAGCAGCCTCCGGTGGATTCCCGAAAACCAAAACTGCACAAAAACCCCCAGCTCCTGGGACGTATTTTGCTCTCTCCAGACACGTATATAGGACTACGTAATCAGAATGAGCCTGGGTTGAACATGCACCCCTGAGGTATTCACTTATAAACAAACAAATCAATAAAAATGTGTTTATACACTCTAATGAACACTCTAGTGAACAAATCAAAGTGTATAAATGCATACTGAATCAACACCTTAATGAGGAAGACCTGATAATCCTGTAGTTATGATCTGATATGATTATGATATCACAGAATCTGATGACAGTTTTGCTATTTCTGCACAGAATTTCATTTATTAATCTTCTTTTCGGCTTAGTCCCTTTATTAATCAGGGGTCGCCACAGTGGAATGAACCGACAACTATTACAGCATACTGTATGCTTTACGCTGCGGATACATTTCCAGCTGCAACCCATCAAATAGGCTGTAGTGTATGAGTGTGTGTGTGTAAATGAGTGTGTATGGGTGTTTCCCAGCACTGGGTTGTGGCTGGAAGGGCATCCGCTGTGTAAAACCAGCTTGATCTCATGAGGAAACGCAAGTATTGTACGTTTTGCCAGTTTAGTGGCTAATTCGTATGAGTTGTATCGTACGAAAATATACGATTTTAAAAAGAAGACGTGGCACCTAACCCCGCCCCTAACCCCAACCGTCATTGGGTGATGAGCAAATTGTATTTAGATATTCAATTAGATCGTACAAATTCATACAAATCAGCCACTGAATCAAAACGTTACGAATTGCCGTGAGACTGCGTTGGTAAAACATATGCTGGAATAGTTGGCGGTTCATTCCGCTGTGGAGACCTCTGAAATAGGGACTAAGCTGAAGGAAAATGAGTGAATAAATAGACTCAATGTTGGGCTAAACCCTCTCGTTATGATTAATGGATGGCTATCTGTATTAATTGATGCAGTGTAATTAATTGTGTGTGTTTGGGTTTGTTGGTGGTGTAGAAACTAGCGTGTCTACAGATTCTCCATCAGCTAAACCGCTGTTTTCCTGGAGAGATGCAGATTTGGCCTTGAAAAGAGAGTGAGATCTTTGGAAATCCCTCTTTTCAACTGCAGGTCTTACCGTAGAGTTGAGAGCAAGTGTGTGATTCAGCGTGATGCGATGATGTGTGTGTGTGTGTGTGTGTGCGTGTGCTTTTCTGGGCTCGTTGTGGGTGGGAAAGAAAATGAGAGAGGGAAAGAGGGAGCAAGAGGAGAGATGAGGTGACATAATGGGCCGTGTGTGTAAGTGAACACCTAAAGAATACAACCACATCTGAGGGGAAGTGTGTGTGTGCATGTGAGACATATCAGGTGTGTGTGTGTGTGCTCGTAAAGTGTTGTAGCGCGGGGGTGGAGAGACAGAGGGAGAAAATAAGAGAGAGAGAGAGAGAACAGAGCATCTAATAATAACCCTGAGAGGAAACGCAATGATTGAGGCACAGAAGAGAAGACAACGAGAGGGAATCTGGAAAACAGACTACAGTGAGCAGATCAGCAGAAAACACTCTGATTAAGGACACAGACGTGTAAAACATGCTGAAAACGGCAGAAGAGAATCATCCTGAAGCTAGAAAAGTGATTCAATGGATTTTCCTTATTTTTTAAAGTGGTTGCAAATAGATACACTCACCGGCCACTTTATTAGGTACACCTTATTAGTACCGGGTTGGACCCTTTGGCATTCAGAAGTGCCTTAATCCATAGATTCAAATGTTCCTCAGAGATATTGACATGATAGCATCACACTGTTGCTGCAGATTTGTCGGCTGCACATCCATGATGCCAATCTCCCGTTCCACCACATCCCAAAGCTGCTCTATTGGATTGAGCTCTGGTGACTGTGGAGGCCATTTGAGCACAGTGAACTCATCGTCATGTTCACCAGTCTGAGATGATTGAGCTTTATGACATGCTGCGTTATCCTGCTGCCATCAGAAGATGGAGACACTGTGCTCATAAAGGGATGGACATGGTCAGCAGCAATACTCAGGTAGGCTTTCTATCAGCTGGAGCCAGTCTGGCCATTCTCCTCTGACCTCTGGCCTCATCAACAAGGCATTTGCGCCCACAGAACTGGCGCTCACTGGATATTTCCTCTTTGTCGGAGCATTCTCTGTAAACCCTAGAGATGGTTGTGCGTGAAAATCCCAGTAGATCATCAGTTTCTGAAATACTCAGAGCAGCCCGTCTGGCTGAACAACCATGCCACGTTCAAAGTCTCCTAAATCCCCTTTCTTCCCCATTCTGATGCTCGCTTTGAACAGCAGCAGATCCTCTTGTCCATGTCTACATGCATAAAAGCAGTGAGCTGCTGACATGTGATTGGCTGATTAGAAATTTCTGTTAACGAGCAGCTGGACAGGTGTACCTAATAAAGTGGCCAGTGAGTGTATATGGGCTGAATTGAAACACTAATTAAGTTGAGCATTACTAACCTTATTGTCTTTGTTTAAATTCAGCCCATATACATTGTTTGCAACCACTTACCTTAAAAAATAAGGTAAATCCAAAGTTTGTTCATCAACAATGATTAAAGATTTTTATTTTTATTAAAATGCTTAGCTGAGGCATTTTTAACCCAACAGTTGGGTTAAAAATTGTCATTTAAATTGAATAAAAAAATAAAATGGTCCATATGGACGTCTCGGTGGTGTAGTGGGGGTGCTCCGGTTTCCCCCACAGTCCAAACACATGCGCTATTGAGGAATTGGATGAGCTAAATTGGCCGTAGTGTATATGTGAAAGAGTGTGTATGGGTGTTTCCCAGCGTTGGGTTGTGGCTGGAAGGGCATCCGCTTCATAAAACATATGCTGAATCAGTTGGTGGTTCATTCCACTGTGGCGATCTCTGAATGAATGAATGATCCACATTTGATTTAATGCTGGGTTACGACAACTGAGTTTTACTTTGGTCGTGTGTGTGATTCTGGTATTGTCCCCACACGTATAGCAATACCAGTCATTTTAAACCTTCTTGAGGACATGTTTTGGTCTCCATGAGGAAAATGACTCATAAATAACACAGAATGGAGAATTTCGACAATGTAAAAGTGCAGATTGTTTGCTTTAAGAGCTGAATTTAGGGCTAGAGGAGAGAATAAATGGTTTGTACAGTAGAAACATCAATACTGGTATAGGGAGAGCGCATAAAACGTGAAAAACCTGGTGTGTGTGTGTGTGTGTGTGTGTGTGTGTGTGTGTGTGTGTGTGTGTGTGTGTGTGTGTGTGTGTCAGGGCACTAAAACATTTACAGGATTGCGGCAGTGCTGTGAGAGGACTAAAGATGTCTGATGCTGCCCTCCTCTGGTGAGATGAAGGTAAAACATCTGAATAAATCCATAAATCAGCAGTTTTCAGTATTTTGTGATGCATATTTCTATTCTTCATCCCTTATTTCTGCTTGTAAATTGAATTATGGGATCTTGGTCTTTCTTCCAACAACTTTTAACCTTGAAAATCTTGAATAAGTGACACTTGTTGTTGTCGTGTGTGTAATAGTGTGCAGTGTGTGTTGGTGTTGTATATTTCGCTGCAGAAGCTTTGTAGTAAACTGCAGCACATGGTCTGTTATTTTACAGATTTATTTTGAATTGAATTGAATATTTCTCTTGATATTATTTATTATACATTGTATTTTTTCAAACTACTAAAATGTCAATAAATGTCTACAGCAAAAATCAGTCTAAGGCACTTGAAAAATGTGGAAAACAATAATAAAAAGCCTTTATTCACATCGTCACCTTGGAGCTATAAGGTTCTCTCTGCACTCTGAATGACTCTGAGATATTGAGCTTCAAAGTTTTTGCATTCCATATAGCAAACAGTATGTGTGCAACATTTGTTTTTTAAATAAAAAGTCATAAAATGTAAACAACTATTAAAAAACATCCCATAATGTGAAGAAGTTGTCATTTAATAAAAATATATGTCAATAACTCGATTTTGCCAAAAATGTCAGACAGAACCTTATGATTCTGAGGTGACGATGTGGCTAATCGTTGGCTTTTTAATATCTTTTTTCCACATTTTTCAAGGCTGATTTTTGCAGTTTTGTCTGATGAATCCCTTGCCCAAAAAGCACCGACACTTTATTTAAGCTACCCCTGAGCACCTTTTGTTTCAATTTGTGAATTTTGACTTGATTGTGTGCTAAAATATTACATAAGGACAATAGCCATACGCGGTTTATATTTTCCACCATTAGCTGATAAACATACGGTGAATTTCTGTCTCAACTGTTGGCCAGGATTCCTCTGAAACAGTGCCCTGGTAGAGTTGCGACAGCATTTATTAACGCTCTACTGGATAAATATGGATTGCATATGTAATAATTTAGAGTTGTGCACTTTTAAATAAAATTGTTTTATTTATTTGCTTTATTTATTTCAGATTCAGTTTAACAATATAGGAAATAAAATATTTAACACTGAAAAGATATGACAAAATATAAACAGTAAAAACAACATTCATTCATTTTCCTTCGGCTAAGTCGCTTTTTTATCATCAGGGGTCACCACAAAAGAATGAACCACCAACTATTCCAGCATGTGTTTTACACAGCGGATACCCTTCGAGCTGCAACCCAGTACTGGGAAACACCCATACACACTCATACACTCAGCCAATTTAGTTGATCAACTCCTCTATAGTGCATGTGTTGGACTGTTGGGGAAACCGGAGCACCCGGAGGAAACCCACGCCAACACGAGGAGAACATGCAAACTCCACACAGAAACGCCAACTGACCCAGCCGAGGCACGAACCAGCGACCTTCTTGCTGTAAGGCCACACCACTGAGCCACCGTGCCAACATTGTCAACATTCTCTAGGTTAAACAAACACGAAGAAAGCGTTGCTGTACCGTTTTCCTCCACTAGGCGGACTCTCATACAAACACTGCCTCACCTGTGTGCGCGCTGCAGCTCACACCCTGCGTAACCCTCGACACACAACCATAAACCATCACATTACATCACAACACGCCTCGGTTCAGCAGTCAGATCAGCTTTACAGTGTGTGAAATCACACTCTCCAACTCTTCAGAGCTGATCGGAGATTTATTTCACCCCAAAAAATCAAAACAAACCGCGGACACTTCTGAAAAGTGGACATACACTAGAAACACAGTCGGCGATTCCTGAAGCTACAAGTCTCAGGTGAACTGCAGACACACCCACATCACACACACACTGAAGAACCGGTTTTGTTCAGGTTTTTCCTCACACACTCGTCACAATCCAGCAAAGAAGAGAAACGACAACAGCTTCAGCATGCAGTGTAAGTCCATCTCTCTTGAATTGATCTGCATTATTATGATCAGTAGCAGTAACAGTGGCCTACTGTATATCAGTCATTCATTCATTTTCTTATCGGCTTAGTCCCTTTATTAATCCGGGGTCGCCACAGCGGAATGAACTGCCGGTTACTGTATATCACTGAATGAATATAGCTAATATTAAACATGGTGGCGGATCGATGTGTATTGTTGGTTTGGTTTAGTTTTGGCTTATTCTAATGAATAATACACTCACTGAGATAAACTAGTCAAATTAAGTGTGTATTTCAAGCCTTAAATGCAGTTTTAATGACTCAATTCTAGAGTCTGTGTGTGTAGAAACCTTCCTTATTAAAGTGAACGCCCAGCAGAATCCATTTCAACCGGTCTATTCATGATTATGGCCCATATGAGTGGTTCAGTCGGGTCAATGTTGGAGTTAAAATGCGCACATTCTCATCGATTTGTTTATAATATATATATATATATATATATGAGCAATATCACATGAGTAGCAGTGCGATATGGCTGTATATCAGCACTGGTGGGAGGCGTGCGTTGGCATGAGGCTGCAGGCCCAGTGCCTTAGTGCCCCCACCAGTGCCGATATACAGCCATATCGCACTGCTACGAGTGTGATATTGCGTTTATACAACAGTTTGACGACATAATTGTGTATATAAAAACATAATCAAACATGGAGAGTCTCAAAAACCCTTTTGTATGAGGAACTACTTTCTTCCGCATTCAAATCCTAAGCTGACAGTTCAACAGCTGAGCGTGCATCTTTTAAACTGTGGATCTGTAGTGTCTGCTTTCTGCTGGCTGTATGTGGGCGGAGTAATACACAAAGGGTAAAGAGGCTGTAGGAGTTCTGATATTGCAGAATATCGCATGGCTATCAGCCAATCAGATTTGAGAACCAGACAGAACCGTTGTGTAAATATATATAGATCACAGCTTTTTCGTGGGAAGTGATGTACACCTATCCCACATAGCTACACATCTCTGGCCCAGCTCTGACCCACACACTCAGCTTTTGATGGCCCACATGCCACAGTGAATTACGGGACATGACTGGACCAAGTCTGGCTTTCATATAAGGGTCTAGTCTCAGTCAAGTTATTAACCCATAACTCAACCTGAACTGGTCCAGCTATGGCCCATGTTTGGCCCAAATTTGGTGTGTCACGACTGCAATGAAATTGATAAACCCATGAAGCATTGCACTCTAGGTGGGTTAGTAATGGTTATGGTTAGTAATAGCTAATAATAATATAATTTGTAAAATAATAATTTGGTTAAGAAAATATATGTAATGTTGGTTCAGTTCAGTTATTTTGCAACATGCAGGAAACATTAGATTCATAATTCCTGATTGTTTCCTGGATTAAAATGAAGGCATTAGATGCAGGAAGATGGAAATGATAAAATATTTCTTTACTCATAAAATTATTTAAATGTTTTTAAAAGTGGGTCAAGACAGGCCAAACATACATGGCCCACATATACGTTAACATCTGGGCCAAATACTACACTTGACATCTGGCCCATGTCTTGCATGCCGCCTTAAAGTCGGTGCCACCTCTATCAAACCTGGGCCGTGTTTGGTCCATATGCTGTTTGCCAGAGCCTGATGAATGCCTGCTGTGCCAGCTTTATGCCAAATTTGGGCCAGAATTCTTTGCTACCTGGGGAGTTTGATAAATCCATGAAGCATTTCGCTTTATTGCTGCTTTTTTTCTCGAAGCAACTTGGTTGGTTGAATGTTTTCTGTAAGTTTTTAGATGTATTTTAAAAGTGGGTCAAGACAGACCAAACTTAAGTGGGCCACATATTCATTTTAACATCCGGGCCAAGTACCATTTTTGATATCTGGCCCAAGTTTTGTGTTCCGCCTTAAAGACAGTGCTACCTCTGTTAAACCTGGGCTGTGTTTGGCCCACATTCTGTATGCCAGTGCCGGATGAATGCCTGCTTAATGCCAAATCTGGGCCAGAATTTTTTTGCTGCTTATCCCACATAGCAAAATACCTCTGACCCACACACTCAGCTTTTGATGGCCCACATGCTGCAGTGAATTACGGGACATGACTGGACCAAATCTGGATGCCAGACAAGAGCCAAACATGGAGCATATCTGGG